AGTCGGTATGTTATTTAAATGATTAAATTGTCCTCTTTTTAAATATTAATATAATATTATTTTTATTATTAATTTTTGAATAATTTTTTTAATCCCCAATATTTCAGATTTAGCTAAAACACTCTGGCTTATATAAAACTTTAATTTATGACAAAATCACCTCCAACCCTTGCCGCCGCTTGTCGCCACAGCAAATCACCGTCGAAAGTCACCGAAACTCGTCGTGAGTAGCTCACCATGATCGCGAGGCTTCGATATGGCTGTTTCTAGCCATATTGATGGCTGAAAACAGTCATATCAGGCCAGATCTAGGTGAGATCTGACCGTTAACAATTAGGTCCATAGTCGTTAAAGGCCAGATGTCACCTAGATCTGGTCATTTTCGGCCAGATTTGGCCTAATATGGCCAGAAACGAACATATCAAAGCCTCTCGAAGCCTCCAAGTGACTCTCGATCATTTTTAGGAACTCCGACAAATTCTCGGTGACGGTCCATGCTGGTTGGCCCGCTGTTGGCGGTGGTGGTTGAGTGGCAGTGGTGGTCTGTAATTTGTTTTAAATATGAAGACATTATTGTCGAAAAACTTAATTAAACAAGGGTAAAATTGAAATGGTATATTAATGTAAATTGATTTTAAAACAGGGGCATTATTGTCCAAATTTTTTATTAATAAGAGATATAATTGTAACAAAAATAAGATTACCTCGGTAATCTTACAATACCTAAGAAAATGAAGGTAATCAGATTACCTCCAATATTACTATTTACTATTGGTAATGCAAGATTACCGGAATCTTATATTACTTAACAACCAAACATGGTAATCAAGTAATATAAGATGATATAACCCAATAATCTTAGATTACCTCCAACCAAACGCCCTCTTAGAGAAAAGATGTTCGCTTAAAAAACAAGGAAATATTTGTATTATTTGTCTATTATCCTCTGACGAAAGTAGTTGTAAAGTTATTTTTATTTTACTTCTATTACTAAAAATTATAATAGCATTTCTCTTCTACTCGTAAAAGAAAGGTACTAATTTAATCTCTAGTCGCTTGTCGTAACACAAAGCATTAAGAGACTTTAATATCAATCAAATTAAATTTAGACATTCTTAACTTCTCAAAACATGTATAGGGTTAACCCCAAGGGGTATATGATAATAACTTTTGTTTTTCTGTATTTGTAGATTCATTAAAATGAGCAATACCAACCTGCAATTGATAGTCGAAAAAGAAAATAGGTTGGATGGATCCAATTTCTCGGACTAATATCGAAATCTTCAGATTGTACAGAAATCCGAAAAGAAATTGTATATCCTTGATAAACCTTATCTAGCTAAGCCTGAACCTGATGCCACTGTGGAAACTAAGGACATTTATCAAAAGTTACTTGATAATGTTCAATGCATTATGCTAAATAATTCTACTATTGCAGTACCGACTTTTAAAATGACCTAATATCTAAGTCTGATTAGCCTAAATTTAACTTCAATTATGAAAAAATCGAAGCCATTTGAGCAAGTCAAACCCAAAACATTATCAGAGTGGTGGTTTCATACTTTCATGGAAGGTTTTTCCATGTTTTATTCACTTTACATGGAGAGTAATACTTAGAGATGTCAATGAGCTCGATATTTCTGGATACCCGGCTCAAAAAGGTTGGGCTTTACCCGATTTTAGCAGGCTTGGGATTGGGCCTAAGACTGATTTTAAGGTCTACCCTCAGGTACAGGCCGAGCATGGGTATGTCTTCAGGCCTGGCTCGACCCGACATTTTATTATTAATCATACTAAATTACACTTATACTATATATTTAATTACATAATTATTCTACATATATATAAAAAAAAAAAAATTAAAATTTATTAATATTTGGTGAGTGTTAAAAAATAAATTAATATTTAAAAACTGTTTATATAATTAAAAATATAAAAAAATTAAAATTTATTAATATTTAAAAGTTCACATTATAAAAATAAGTGAGCTTAGGTCGGGACTAAGATTATAAAAAGCCCGTTGGGTCGGACTTGGGCTCGGGTTAAGGGGTATCCGATCTTGGCTTAACCTATTATCATCTCTAGTAATATTAGACGTATAAATAACTCTTATATATATTTTTATACAAAGTGATATAATAAAAAAATGATTGGAAAAATTAAAGTGGTAATTATGTTCTTCCAAAAATGTGATGGAAATAGATATTTTTTTATAACTTTCCATTTTTGGTAATATGCTTTAAATTCTTTGTTCCAGCCACAAATTCTCTGAACCTCCACCACGATGATCTTGACACATGCCAACTTACAGCTGGCATTTGTTCACGACATTTTAATCAGAACCTGACGTCCTCTCAGTCTGATTTGACGTCATGATTCTTGCTGGGTCCCTTTCTTCTCGAAAGTTCCACGTTTGCAATTTGGAATGGTGTCCCTTTACGAATTGGTGTAGGTCCCAGTCAGGACAAGTTGGCCATCTGATTTGTTGAATTTTAAGGATCCTGCGGCTTGAACATGTGAACTGTAATGCACCGCCGTAGCACTGGGTCCGTATGGCACGTGAAGGGGGGCGCCGGCTAAACGAGTCCCACCTCATAACGCCCTTGAAGATTGCGAAATGATAGATACTACCCCATGGATATTTTTTGTTTTCAATTTTACCCCTCATAACTTCACCCAAATTTTTTAAAGAGACTAGACAGTTATTTAATTGAACTTTGCTACTCTAGAAATAAAAAATTAATCTTAATTTAATTTAATTTTAAATCTAAATGAAAAATAACCTTTTTTTTTCTTCCTATAAATATGATATTATATGTGTTCTTACTAATAATTTTAAAACAATGGTTTGATGAAAAAGAATGAATTTACAAAAAGTTATAATTTTTTTTTTTGGTTGACCAAGGGTGTCCGGACAAGTTTACAGGTATCTCGAGTAATCTCTCGAGGCCCTGAAGTTAACGACCGGATAAACCCTTCAGTGACCACTCCTATTAGCAACCGAAAGGAATCGAACTCAAGATTTTTTGAGTAATACACCCAATAGTCCCTATCGTCCCACCTAGTCACCTAGACATAAACGTAATTAAAAATAAATAAAAAAACCTATATGTAAAGCTTAGTTTGGTTATTGATTATATTATATGGGCATGAGTGGCATTTCATTAATATGCTAATGTAACATCATATACCTAATCAACTTTAATGCTGTGAATATATGATATGAAATAGAAAAACGGTAAAGTCCAATCTTGTCTTATTTTGGGGTTCAAAAAAGGATGGGAACTTACTAAATTTAATTTGGTCAATATATATAGGTACCATATTCTATTTGCTAATACAATATAATATTCACTAACCACACTAGGGAACATTATATATTAAGTTTGACAATTATCTAATTTTGCACCAAATTAACTTAATTTTTACACAAGAAAAGAAAATAAAATGTTATGCCTCTCCCAGTTATTTAACTTAATTTTTGCACTTCGATTAATCCTCCGAAGGATTGAAGTTAATGGCGCAACACGCAATCGAGAGAAATCGACTTCAAAATTTCTTGAGTAATACACTCAAGAATCTCTGTCGACCCACCCACCTATTTACATAGATATTTAGAAATGCTTTGCCAACTAATGAACCCTTATAAGTTTATAGTGCTAAAACAGAGAGGGTAGGCTAAGGTAGGCAATTTTGCCTCAGCACTTCTCATTTTATGTGATATCGATTCCTTAAATTAAGGGTTCATTAGATAGAATGTTTTAATTAATTAATCAAAATTTCATTAATTTCAAGGGCTTTTCTAGAATAATATGTTGAACTGGAATTAACGGAATTTGGAATATTATTAACCTAAGCTTGAAATATATATTACCCATACCCAGCAAGATTTGAGTTTATAAACCAAACATATAGTAAAGGAATATATTAAATTTATATTATATTAAAGTCTATAACTTTGTTAAAAAAAAAAAAAAAAAAAAATATTAGACTCATATATGTATCAACCTACCCATTTTTTTTTTTTTTTTTTTTTTCCATTTTCTATATATTCTCTATTTATTGTATGTTTTACGAAACCAGCTTTTTTCATTTTAACGGGTTTTGTTCATGAGTAATGCTACAGTTACCGACGGGTGTGCACCGAATTTGTACACCGAATGACGTGGCAAAATCCTGACCGTTGATTCATTATCCGTTAATATTAATCAACGGTCAGGATTTTATCACGTCATTCGGTACACACTTTTCGGTGACTCTATCATTTTCCTTTGTTCATATATCCCTTTTACGTTCGAACGACATCTTCCCACCTGAAATTTACCTTAACAACATTTATTACATAAAAAAGTTTGAAAACGACAATTACCCACCAACCATTAAGATCAGTTAAGATCTATTAATTAACATAGTATAATCATTGTAAAGACGAAAATACTCTCTGCTATTTGAACACTATCCTTCTCTGTTGCGGTCGCCACCACCACCTCAAACAAACTCCCTCTCTTCCCTCCTAAAGCCGTCTCCTTCCTCTCTCACCCCCTTAAACTTATGATAATCCTACCCACTTCATCTCAACATCTTCCTCCTCAATTAATTCTAACAAATATATTACATTCAATTAACTATCTCTAGCTAGTTTGACGGTTAATTTCAGGGTTTCGAAGACTAGTTGAGGTACGCGTAAATTAGCTTGGACACATTTGGGATATCTATAATAGCTTATTTGATTCAAGATTTCAAAAATAATTTTCACGATTCAAGTTTCTGAATTGTATCTTAATAATTTTAATATATATTTGATATAATAATTAAAAATTGAAAACGACTTTTGTTCGTTTTCATATTTTACACTTGTTTTTAGGATTATATTCGAAGGTGTTTTTGAAGAACAGAAATCTTCCTTCAATTCATATTTGTCTCTATCCTCTTCTTGTTTCTTGGACTCTATATAAACCTCTTAACCCTCCATCACTCTCTTTCACATTGATCATATTCTTTTGATCTCCATATTTAACTATATTTATATATAGCTAGCTTTTGTATTGTTTCTAGTTTTCATTTCTTCATTGCAACAAGCGCTATTACATTTGTACATGGAGACTGTTGCCGTTTTCGTCTACATTTTCCTATTTCTTTCAACTCTTCTCTCGTGTTATCCCTTCGTCCGGAAGAGAAGAAGAGAAGCTAAACGAGTTTCTAAGCTTCCTCCAGGCTCAATGGGATGGCCTTACGTCGGGGAAACTCTCCAAATGTACTCTCAGGACCCGAATGTCTTCTTCGCCGCAAAGGAAAAAAGGTTCTTCATAATCATAATCATAATTCAAGCTGAACAACATATATATCTATCTATTTGTTTTTGATGTTCTCCTTTTTCTGCATGTATTTACGCCTGTTGTTATTTTTGTGGGGGGCGTTTCAGATACGGAGAGATTTTCAAATCGCGCATACTCGGTTACCCTAGTGTTATGTTGGCGAGTCCTGAAGCCGCAAAATTTGTGCTTGTCACTCATGCTCATTTGTTCAAGCCGACGTATCCCAGAGGCAAAGAGAAAATGATCGGCCCTTCAGCTCTTTTCTTTCACCAGGGACACTACCATACTCATCTCAGGAAGCTTGTTAAAATTTCATTAGCCCCGCAAACGATTAAGAAACTGATTCCTGATATTGAAGCCATCGCCATTTCTAGCTTGGAGTCATGGGTGGCTAATAATGGACAAGTCATCAACACTTATAACGAGATGAAGAAGGTACAGATTAAGTAAAAATTGTATACATGTTTCTAATGTGAATCTCGTGTTGCTTAATTATTGAAAGCTTGTTTTGGCTTATCTAGTTGAAATAATTTAATATATTACTTGGTGGGGTTGCTCAGAAATTTGTTTTTTTTATTGATAATTTTCTTAGTGAGTTCAGTGTTATATGGATATGGGTCCTCCACCTTTTTGTTTGGATCACTGGTTTGGTAACGTGTGGGTTTGGTTGAAACTCTGCAGTTCTCTTTTGACGTTGGCATTCTCTCCATCTTTGGTCATTTGGATGGCAGCCATAGAGAGAAGCTGAAGAAAAACTATCTTACAGTGAACAAAGGCTACAATTCTTTTCCCACAAACATTCCAGGAACTGCATATCACAAAGCTCTCTTGGTAATTTTTTAAGAAATTCATCAACTTTTTGTTTTATATGCACGTTTAATTGACATATATGATTAATTTTTGATGAAATATTGTCTAATTGAAGGCAAGGAAAAGACTGAGTAAGATTGTGAGTGAGATAATCTGTCAGAGGAAGGAGAAGAGAATTGTGGAGAAGGATCTGTTGGGTTATCTTTTGAACTTCAAAGATGAAAAGGGGCAAGTTTTAACAGAGGATCAAATTGCTGATAACATAATTGGAGTACTATTTGCAGCTCAGGACACTACAGCTAGTGTTTTAACATGGATTCTGAAGTACCTTCAGGATAACCAAAAACTTCTAGAAGCTGTAAAGGTAATTAAGATATATAAGAATCCATTGAACAATCAGGAGAAAAAATATACACCAGAATTTTATTGTTAAATGGCTGATTTTTACAGGCAGAGCAAAAGGTAATATACGAATCATATACTGCAGGAGGAAAGAGATCCTTAACATGGGCAGATACCAAGAATATGCCACTCACATATAGAGTAAGTAGGTCCAACTTCAACTTCAATATTATGTTTTGTCACAACTTGATGACAAGAAAGATTAATGGTGGCTAAACTGTGTATATTTTTGAACTTTCAGTTGATCTTGGAGAGTCTGAGGATGGCAAGCATCATATCTTTTACATTCAGGGAAGCAGTAGTTGATGTAGAATACAAAGGTTAGAAGATTCTCTGTTTTTTTTTTTTGACCTTTTTGATCAAGAGGTTTCTGTTCTAAAAACTCTGTTTCTTAAATCTACAGGGTACCTCATCCCAAAGGGTTGGAAAGTGATGCCATTGTTCAGGAACATCCATCACAATCCAGAATTCTTCTCTGACCCTCAAAAATTTGACCCATCTAGATTTGAGGTAAAGGTGCTTGAATGTTTGATGGTTATGGTTCTTGCCTTCTTGGCAAGCGAGCATGAGCAATATTGGTGGTTAAAGTTACAAACTTTTGTGATTGTGGGCGATTTGCAGGTAGCCCCAAAGCCCAATACCTTCATGCCTTTCGGCAATGGCGTGCACACCTGCCCTGGCAATGAACTTGCCAAGCTGCAGATACTCATTTTAATCCACCATCTACTCCCCAACTTCAGGTAATGTCACTGAAATGGTGATTCAATCAATTAATGACACCAAAAAAATTGGAGCCTCCAATAGATTTTGACATGGCTGTTCTCTTTTTGTTGCAGATGGGAAGTGGTGGGTTCTCAAAGTGGGATTCAGTATGGCCCATTCCCAGTTCCTCAACAAGGACTCCCAGCCAGATTTTGGAAAGAATCAAAATCATCAACCTCAACCTCAACCAAACAAGACTAATTTCCAGTCTCTTACAAATAATTTTCTATTCCCTAACCAAAACCCTTCTATTGTAATTGTAGTTTTAATTTCTAAGTAAGTTAACTAGTATTGTAATAAGCATTAAGCAAGAGGATTTTTGGGAAATTTTCATTTTCCCAGATGTAATTTTGTAAAACAGGGCGTGATGCCCTTGATTGGAGGGCAAATAAACCAGAATCGAGCCTACTTGAAGCCATTGACAGGTTGCTAGTGGGCGGTGGCCCCATGAACTGATTTTTCTCAATGACTTATCACTTACAGATGAAGGGTATTTCCAGAGGAGGGTGACCTATAAATTAAGGGCAATTGTCAGCAGTAGCCCACCTGCTACATACCTAAAAGTAACTCAAACTGTAAGGCTATGTAAGTTTTTTTGTCTCAACTATTCCAACAAACAGGCCCTGCATTTGCAGAGAATGCCCAAAGTAGTGACATTGAAAATGTGATATTTTATCTGTTTAGTTTGTTATTTTGGATAGGATTTTAAAAATAGTATTTGATAGTTAAATATGATGATTTGTTATTTTAGATAAGATTTTAAAAATAGTATTGGATAGTTGAATATGATGATTATTACGAAGTAAAATTTAAAAATTAGCAAAAAAAACCTTTTAAGTTTGCTAATTTAACTAAACACCTGAATATATAATAATTTTATAAAATAACAAAAATACCCTCACCCACCCACAGTGCCAAATTCCAGCCACCATCGTCGGAATCTGGTCAGAATATGGCGTTACGACTCAGACTAGTCGAATCTGGCCTGTCGTGCATTTATTTGACCTTTTCTGGCACAATCTGGCCAAAAAAGGCCAGATCTAACCGTTAGCAACGACCAAAGATATGGCCGTCATTATCGGTCAACGACGGCCATTTCTTTGGCCATCGTTGACGGCCAGATCAGCGAATTATCGACCAGTTTCGATCGTTTGTACGCCGTTGTGACAGATTCTGGCTACCACTGACGGTGGTTACGGGAATCTAACAACTATGGATGGGTGGGAATGTTTTTGTTCATTTTTAAACTTTTTTTGGGGATGTTTTATTAAATTAATAAACTTAAGGAGTTTAAAAGTGATTAAATAAAATATAATAATATTTCCTAAATAATTAAACAAACAGTTATTTTGAGAATATGATTGATAATAAGGTATGAAATAATAATCCAAACGGACCCATATTATCTAGATAATTCTACTGGCTTTTGTGGCCTCGTGGGTAGGCAAGGAATTCTACATCAATGACCACGATAATTCAGGCAAGGATCTTGAAGCTTCCAGCACTAATGTGACTGAATGGCAAAAGTTTTGAGACACCAAAAACTTTCCTTTTTGTGTTTAATCCTGGTCATTTTCACTTACTTAAAATCGTAACTCTACTCCAACTTACCATCTTTTAGATAGTGGAGTTTGTGACCTTTCACTGCCAATCAGCATCTTCATAGTTATCACTTATTGCTATAGTTTATCAGTATCCAATCTCTATGATGGGTGGTTTAAATAATAATAATAAATTTATTTAGACGGTCTCACTACATCAACACGATGATTTAGTGAGGTTATCTAGTAGAAAATTTTCTCATTTAGCCACCGTTAGATTGCTGAGTGGTTGGACAAGGACTCTTGAGTGTATTACTCAAAAGGTTTTGAGTTCGAGTCACCTCGATTGCTAATAGAGATGATTAATGAAAGGTATATTCGGTCGTTAATTCTAGGGCCTAAAGGATGAGTTTAAGTCACTTTAGTTGCTAATAGGGATGACCACTGGACGATATACCTGATCGTTAACTTCAGGGCTCGAGAGATTAGACGAGATGCACGCAAACTGGCATGAACATCCTTGATCACCAAAAGAAAAGAAATTTCATTCAAAAGATAGTACTGAGTTTTCGGTAAGTTTTGAAGAATTACACCAAAGGAAATATTGTTTCTGCAGACTTTAGAAGGTGATTGATCTCTCTTTATTTTGAAGAATTCTATGGGGAAAAAAAAAAAAAAAAAAACAAAAGGAAAAACGTAATGTAAGGCACATAATATTGGCGAACAAAGTGATGGGATTTTAAGTGGGCTTGTATCAGCGTCTCCGAGAATTTCAATTTGGGCTGAATTGAAAAACTACAGAGAAAATAGAGGGTGTGTTGAAGCTCTGCTATATATTAATACGGCAGTGGGGTGGCGTTCCCGGCTTTTTTTATTTAATTTTTTTACAATCGGTGTTAGAAGTTAGAACCAGGCTATCCACGTCTTGATTAATCTCCTAAAACTCTGAAATTACTGTTATATATTAATAGCATAGTTATTAATATCCTACGATATGCGATACATATTCTATGATACGATTCGATAGAGTCGTCAACGATACGTATTAGAGAGTGTATCATAAACTTTCGATACGTTGATATATATCATACGATACGATACGTATCCGTTTATATCCTTAAAAATATCGATACAAATCGATATGACTTTATTAATTTGAGCCAAAGGTCCAAAAAAAAATTCAGGTCAAATCTAGGTCACCCAACCTGGTTCACTAAAACCTGCCCAAATTTACTAATTTTGCTTAGGGAAAGTGAAAAGGAAGATGTGTTATCCATTTTGCATGATAATAATAACACAAGTGGAGTTATAGATATTGACATTGATCTTGGAAATGATCTGAATGTTTGAGAGGAAATAATATAGATTCTTAATTTTGTGATTAATTTTGATTATGTAATACCATAATTTAAAGTTAATAATACCAAAAAATTTTGTTAATTAATAATAGGGATGATATTAATTTTTAGAAATTTTTTATTATTTTTTTTAAAATGGCGTATCCTGTTATACGATATGATATACGAAACATAATTTAAAAAATTAGGTTTATGATACACGATACGATACACAATTTGATAACCATGACTAATAGTGGCTTCCTAGGTATCAAACTCACGAGGGATCATATCAGATAAAATTATATATTAACGTTTTTTTAACCAACTTTGTTACCTCTAATTTACTAAAATAAAAGAAGACGATCCGTTTCAGTGAACTATATTTGAAAACTAGACCACATGCACTTTGACAACTCCAACAGAATTACCTACTCCTTCAACATCATCATCTTGTGGGATTGACCCAACACTTTTTTTTTTCCTTGTGATAGGTACGTTAGATTAGTTTGCGCGTACCTCAATTAATTTACTAAACTAAAAGAAGACGATCCGTTTCAGTGAACTATATCTGAAAACTAGACCACATGCACTTTGACAACTCCAATAGAATTACCTACTCCTTCCACATCATTATCCTGTGGGATTGGCCCAACACTTTATTTTTTCTTCCCTGGTGATCGGTATGCTTGGACTAGCTTGCACGCATCTCAATTAATTCCTGGAGTCCATTCAACACCCTTCAGCACCATCATCTTTTGGGATTGGCCTAACACTTGTAATTTTTTTTTATTTTTTTTGTGATCAGGATGTCCAAGCCAGCTTACGCGCATTTCAATTAATGCCCAGAGTCCATTGAACACCCCATCATCTTGTGGGATTGGCCCAACACTTATTTATTTTATTTTGTAATTGAGGTGTTTGAGCTAACTTACATGCACCTCAACTAATCTTCGGAGTTCATTGAACACCTTACAATCCAATATATCAAGTAAGTTACAAATATGGTAGGTGACCATTTGGTGAGACTCGAACACGAGACCTCTAGGTAACCTCAGGGACCTAACACTTGTAATTGCCTCAACCTTCCTCTTCCGTGAAGCAAAAACTTCATTATTCATCAAACTGCTACTATCATTCCATTTTGTGGGTGTTCATCAATAACTCCTCTAGTTCATTAGGGCCCAACTAATTAAGGGTTTGTTTGGTTTGATATTTCCACTATCTTATTCATACTATATCCAAAATATTAGTTTATTTTTCTATTCTGAAAATACTATTATATTTTTTTTAACTATATTTTAAACCCTTTAAATTTATTAATTTAACTAAACACCCCCCAAAAAAAGTTTAGAAATTGATAAAAACATCTCCACCCACCCACATTTGCCAGATTCCGACCACATCTCCGAAAGGTGGCCGGAATCTGGTATAATAGCGTACTACTAGCTGGATCTGGGATCGGGTTGTTGATGGTCAGGTCTTTGGCCGTAGCTAGTCGTCAACGACGGGCATATCTTTGGCCGTCGTTGATGACCAAACATGACCGTAGATCTGACCTTTTTCGACCAAATCTGTGGTAGATCTGGTCAGAAAAGGTCATCTTGGAGCACGATCAGTCAGATCCAGTTGATTGTATACCGATACGGCGACTTCGATAGTCGTGGCCAACTGTCAAAATTTAATGGGTGAGTAAGGATATTTTTGTAATTTTATAAGTTTTATTACAGGGGTGTTTAGTTATTTAACAAACTTAGGGTAGTATTTTTATTAATTTTTAAATCCTACCCTATAATCCGTATCAAACTCTAAAAATATCAAAATTACTATCCAAAATACTAAAACAAATGCTTCCTAAATAAATAATATTTATTGCATTAATTTCTTAGACTTTGGTCAATTTAATTAATTTCTCCTAATAGTATCGTCCGTATGTTTCCTTAAGCATGAATTAATTATAAACTAGGACGAAATTGACAGTAATCAAGTTCAGTCATGTCCCATCCCATGTGTCACGTTACGGTGGGGCCCACCATTTTTAAGGCGCTAACCCTCTCACGCATTATTATAATGATATAAATAATGATTTTTATTTACTTTTTTTGAGTTTCATTTCTTTGTTAAAAAATGAAATTCAAGCGCATACACACAGCTCAGCCCAACTAAGATCGATCTCAACCGTCACCACGCAGAGCTTCAAAGCTTCCCCATTTTAATTCATACTGAAATTCAATTTCTTTTTCTTTTTTTGTTATCGAAGTTTTAGGTCGGAATCAGAACGAAGTCATTTCAGTTTTGGAGATGATTATTTTGATTTGTTTTAGTTGATTGAGGAGGCTAGGCTCGGGTCTAATTCTCGCTTCAATTCAATTCACGCATGGACTCGATCTGGACTCAAAGTGGACCGACCGACGCTTGGCATTTCATCGTCGCCGTGTTATTCGCTCCCGGTTTCGTCGTCGCTAGGTTCTTGCTCGATAAATTCATCTTTCGAGTAAGATTCCGCTTATTTACTATCAGTTTGACTCTTAGATTCTGTAAGTTGTTTGTGTTGCTTTTGTTCAATGTTGAATTGGAGTTAGTTCTGTTTTCGGCATTTGTTTCGTTGAGTGATAGTTATGCTCGTCAAAGCGAAGAAAATGAGAGAAACTTTGTGAATTAAGCTCAGCTGCATTATTTTCTTTGCTTTTATGCTAATTAAAGTGGAAAGCATAGGAGAATTAATTCGAAGTTATTGTTCTTTTTGGTTTGTGTGATTGGCTGAAGAATGGAGAATTAGTTATTGAATGAAGTTTTGCATTTAGAATGTGCAACATGAACCTTAGTGGCTTATGAAATTTATTTGGTTTCTGGCAATGTTTGTGATATAAACTGTGAAAAGAAGAGAGAAAAGGAGGAAAAGAATGAACAGAAAAAAGCAAAAAAGTAGAAAGTTTCACAGATAACAGTTATTTGGTCATAAAGTTGCACCTGGGGTCCTAAATGGTAATAGCATGAAAGCTTGATCTGCTTCAGATAGTAATTATCTCGGCTTAAACTTGATTACACTCTGTTTTTTTTGAGCGGGAGATGGAAATTGTCATTGGTGAGGAAAAGTGTGCTCTAAGGACTTTCTGATGATCTATCATGCATAAGCTAATGTAAATTTGAGATTTCACAGTATAATCTGATCAGCTATGTACTTAAGGTGGCAGGGGAATTTGCTAGCATACACTTACAGGCCTTTTCATATTTATCCTTCTTTACGTTTTGTGTAGCTTTTCGATCACTTTGGACTGCTTTATATGATTTTACTGGGGTAGGTTCAAACTTTTAACAGCAAGCAGGGATGGCAATTGTTTCTTGTGGTCCCTGTGGAAAAGGCATCTAATATCATAGATATTGGATAAGTGAAATTGATACATTAAGTGACTTTTTGCATAGTGATGAAGCAAAATATTGATATTTGCTTTGTAGTTCCTATTTCTTCTTACCTAGTATTTATGTAGATGGATGATAATAAAGAAAAATATTTAATGATTTTAACACAGTTAGTATTCTTTCATGCCTGGATGCACCTAAGATACTTATCAAGTGATGATAATAATTTTTTGGACTGCTAGAAATGAAATTTAGATTTTAGTTTCCTATGTTCCTGTTTTTATAAATGATATATAGATGTATGCTCATGTTTATTTTAACAGTATCACATAAATTTAATGTCATGTTTCTTAGAAGCTTATGAGGAATTTTCAGTTATGACAAATAGAAGGCACTTCCTTGTGTTGGTTCCACCACACTATAATTCACTGTGGCAGAGTGTAAAAAGTGAAGCTGTAGGATGAAACTTCTGCTCCGTTTTCAATAACCCAAAATTCGTTGTATTAGTTAATTGTCTATTTATGTTGAATTTCCACCCTTTCCTGTAATGATGTTCTATCTCCAGCAGACTTCCTCTGTTGAAGAACATAAACTTATTTTTTCTATGACCAAAGTAAGCAATATTTCAGTTCACATATTGTATGTGATAATTTCTGCACGGAACATTTATATCCATACTTTTGTTTCATGTAAGTGTTTGAGTATGTAAGATATACAAACACTTTATTTTTTGTTTATAGTTTAATCATTCTTCATATTTTTGTAGCGGTTAGCCATCTGGTTGTTGAGCAATGGAAATCTCCCATTAAAGATGAATGAAGCTGCAAGGGCAAAAGTTGGAAAATGTTCGGAATCTATGTGGAAATTGACATACTATGCTACTGTTGAATTTTGTATTCTCAAAATTGCCTACCATGAGCCATGGTTCAGAGATACAAAATTGTATTTTGATGGCTACCCAAATCAAGAGTTAAAGTGAGTATAGTGTATACTTGGATTGTTAGTCTAAGTACTGGATTACTGAATGCTGTATATTTTGTGTGCTATAGGTGCTTTTGTAGTGTGCATAATTGGACCTAATGCTCAAATGACTAATATTCATTTTTTTGTTTGTGAGTGGCTATCTCCCAGCATTTTAATTGATATTACATGACTACAAAAAGAATGAAATGCCTAAAAAATGAAAGTACCGTCCACTTGCCAGCCTCATAATGATGAGCCCCATATACTTTTATATTATCTATAACATTTTTCTTTCTATGAATTGATTTCACAGTTTCTTTTGTCTAACTGCTTAAAAATTGTGTCAAAAGTGTACGGATTTGCAAATCTACTTTTTTTCCTATCTCTAAGCAGTATATATGTACATGAAGACAGCATGCCAGTAATGCACTTGGTGCTTTTCTGACGGGATAAGAATTTGACTGTCAACGAATGAATCTAATTTTGAGTCTTCAATTGGAAGATATATCTTTGGCCTTCCTACTTACATGCACATAACATTTTTCGTTTCTATTTATTTTTATTTTTATGTGCATGTCTGATTCCTAGCTTTTGGATGGTTCCTAATATAGTTCAGTTCTATTGTCAAAGGAGTTAATGTCATCTTTCAAATTGTCGTACTGACTTGCACCATTTTCTGTTTCAGGCTCCCCTTAGAGCTTTACTACATGTGCGAATGTGGGTTTTACATCTACAGCATTGCTGCCCTCTTGACATGGGAAACTCGTAGAAAGGATTTCTCTGTAATGATGTCTCATCATGTAATTACTGTTATCCTGATCGGATACTCATACCTTTCTAGGTAATAAATCAGAACATATCTAATTATACTTGCTAGTTAGTATTTGATAGCCTAAAGTCATTTGTTCTGTGACTGATAGTTGCTCCTAAATATTGTTGATATCCTATATACTCTTTTGAATTCTCATTGTTGGCCTATATCTTTTTGGTTTTTGATATGATATTTTAGAGTTTAAATACTATTGCTGGACCTTTTCTTATAACCTTAAGTTGTTGTGATTAATGGTTTTAAGAATTAGGTTGTATGAGAGTTCTGGTGTTCAAATTCTCTTTCTAGTAATGAAATTATAACACTGAGCAAGCTGAGCATGTGCTTGGATCCTCTTGTATATTATGCGTTTGAATCCATGTGTTTGTTTTTGTATGTCTGAATCACGTGAAGTCTAATCACAATTCGATTTTCATGCAGGGAACTATATTAGAATTTAATATTATTGTGATAAAATACATTTCAGCATGACATAACACTAACTCGAACCAGGGATGTGCCAAAACTTTCTAGTATTCATCTCTCTTTTTTGTTTTTTGAGATGTTTCAGGATCAATATTTGAAGTTAACTATATTTTTTAATTTAAATTGAACTGCCTTAATGATAAGATAAATCATGTTCCTGAGAGTTGCCAGCAGACCATATGAATGTGCACAATTGTATAAGTAGTTCAGATTTCATTAGTGTAAGCATCTCCGTTTCTGTGATCATGTGCATCTTTGTAGTTGTGCATAAAAGGTTGAGATTTGAGGTAGTATTGGAGAACTATCTGTGGCAGTTTATGCTAATTGTTGTATTGTGGCCTAAAAATCTTTTGAATGTATGGTCAGTTTAATAGTGGTTCTGTAGTGTGCAATATAAGTTTTTGAGTTTTGGGTTATTTTGAGCACTTCACAACCCTCATTGTTATATGGTCTGTAACCCTGTTGAACGTGTCGCAAACATGGCCAAGTGTATGGAACTTTGCGTTTCTATTCATAGATGTTGATACTATGTAAACAATTTTCCTTTACACTCAAGTCCTCTCTGTATCATTGGGTGGGTACTAGTTCAGTTTTGTTGGACCTCTTGAGGTTGTTGAAGAGGTCTTCAGATCGAATCCCACTTACACCAAGGTTAGGAGGGGCTCGATTTAAATTTGTCAGTATGAAGGGGGGGAAATGATTAAAAAAAGAAAAATTCAGAGGTCAATTAAAAAAAAAAAAAAAAAGAATGGTGTGCCATTGGGATGCTTTTCTTCTACATTTTTGGCATTAAATACTCTGGTTACTTAATCCTTGTCATGTTATGCCACATAGCTTATCATTTACAAGGTTATATTGAAGTTGCCATTTGTCAGGTCCTTACAGTTGTTACTGTGATAGCAGTAAGATCTTTATCTTAACTATTTTGTCAATCTTTCCGTTTCCTTTCATCCTTGATTAGCTGAGTAACATAAACAGCCTGTTTTTTTTGTATTAATACTGTAAATGATTGATACAAGCTTGAAAATGAGCTCAATTGTATGAGTCAATTGTCAAGGACCAAATGCTGGAGTTCCTTTCTTACTAATTTATTTCTGAGCATGTGTGCATCAACATAGTGATACAATGTAAGAGAACTCTTGTGATTGGTAGTTGAACTCTTGTTAGGTTTGCATTCATCTGCTCTTTATTGTTTTCTGTGCTGGAGTAGGTTAAAATTGAATATGCAATATTATTATTTACTTGAAGATATCTAGTGAAACTTAAAATTATTTTTTTCTGTTACAGTTTTTTCCGGATTGGCTCAATTATCCTTGCCTTGCATGATGCAAGTGATGTATTTCTGGAAGCTGCAAAAGTGTTCAAGTATTCTGAGAATGAACTTGGGGCAAGTGTATTCTTTGGGTTATTTGCTATCTCATGGCTCGTACTACGACTAGTATTTTTTCCATTTTGGGTCATCAAATCTTCAAGGTTTGCATGGTCAATTTGATTTGCCTTCATTTGGCCATATACTAGTTTCTTTAGCTTATTTGCTCTTATTGTTGTCATTTTCCAGCTATGATCTTCTGAACTACTTGAATCTATCAGAGATTTATCCAACGGTCGTGTACTATGTCTTTAATACAATGTTACTGATGCTGCTTGTGTTCCACATATATTGGTGGGTTCTCATATGCTCAATGATTAGGAGACAGCTGAAAAATAGGGGAAAAGTCGGAGAAGATATAAGATCTGGTAAGCCCTTCTAACCAATGCTAATTGGATTACTTTTTTTTTCTTGGTTGTTGGTTATGCCCTGGATATCTATCTCTGTATCCAATATATTGTTTTCCTTTGCTTGTCTGTGGAGGGTGAATCATACAATAGTTCTCCTGTTCTAGTAAACTCCTACTGCTCTTATTTTTATGTTTGCAATTGCCATATACATAAATGTATAAATCAGTCAACTGGGACCAATTCCCAGCCTAGATATGAGAGCCGCGGCTTCCTTACCATTACTCACAGTGGTCCCAGTTATAGCGTGGAGAATTTGCTTTAACCTCTTTTTCTCCCTCTAAGTAGAGTCGATAGGGATATATTTTCGGGTGGAAATAGACAAGACTTGCAGGACCTTCCCAACCTCAGGAAGTCTGCATCTGTGTTTGTGTTTGGTTATTGGTCACTGTTGCCATTATTCCTTAACTATGCATTTTCATCGTAACAACAAATAAAGAAGAGTAGATGGAGTTTCCAAACACACCCTTAAAACCGAATTGCAACATCATTTTTTTACGTTGTTTAATATGAATTTCAGTTAGCATATTGGTTATTTTGGTGAAGGCTTGTTAACAAATTATGTGCAACCAAATGCAGATTCTGAGGACGACGATTAGGTGAAAGATTGAAGATTTTTGTTGTGGGTAATGAATATTAGCCGTGGGGAGAGATTACAAAATGACTATTTTGTAGATTTGGCTCTGTGCGCAATTGAGAGGAGAAGTAGAAGAACTAATCATATTTTGTCTTCTTGATTTCTTTCTGGTGTAGAAACATTAGGCAATTCTTGTATAATTCACCGCGATAAACCTATGTTTTGATATTAGTTTAGTCCTTATATCGAGAAATGCAAAAGAAAAGAAAAAGGTTTCAGTTTTTTGTGGGGTGTTATGGGTCCGTTTGTTTTATTATTTTGGATAGGATTTCGGGAATAATATTGAATAGTTAAATAGGGGAGTATTACAAGGTAAAATTTAAAAATTTATAAAAAACTCATTAGGTTTGCTAATTTAATAAACACCCCAATATATAAAATTCTTTTAACATGATAAAAACATCTCCACCACTTGCAGTGCTAGATTCTGGCCACTACCGTCGGAATCTGGTCGAAAAATTGTGTTACATCACAGACCGGTTGGATTTGGCGGGTAGGGCATTAATATGGCCTTTTTCGGTCAGATCCACCACAGATCTGGTCGAAAAAAGCTAGATTTACGGCCAGATCTGGTCGTTTACACCACAGACCAGTCGGATTTAGCGGGTAGGGTATTGATATGGCCTTTTCTGGCCAGATCCATCATAGATCTGGTCGTAAAAAGCTAGATCTACAACCAGATCTGGTCGTCGACGGCTACAAATGTCCATCTTTGGACGGCCAAAGATATGGTCGTCGCTGATGACTAGATCTAGCATTTTTCGATCAAATCCACTGTGAATCTGGTCAGAAAAGGCTAGATCAGTGAATTATCGGCCATTTTCGGTGGTGGTGTAGACCGTTGTGACAGATTTCGGCTACCACCGGCGCTGGTTGTCGGAATCTAGCAAGTATTGGTGGGTGGGGGTGTTTCTCTTAATTTTTAAACTTTTTTCTGGGGTATTTAATGAAATTAATAAACTTAAAGGGTCTAAAAGTAATGAAAAAAATAGACGAATGTTTCTCAAATAATGTGTCAAACAATATTTGGGGAATAAGATTGGAAATATGAGTAGAAATAATAAGCCAAATGATATAATATTTTGAAGTAATTCTTAGCAAAGTAGTTATCATTTTATGGATTTTGATAGAGTCAGTATCAGTTAATGAATTCAGTAAATTCTTAAAATATAAACTTTATAAATAAATAACAAGTATATATATTTCTATTTAAAAGGGAAAAAAAAAAAAAAAAACTCTTTTTCCCTCCATAAAGACACCAGGGAACAGATGAGGTTTTTTTTTTTTTTTCCCTACTAATTAACAATACTCCCAAAAACCCAAAAATTAAAATTAAAATTGAAGATATACTTGTTTTCTATATTGACAGCATGTTATTATTATTATTATTATTTTTTTGGTAATCAAGGTGTTCGGGTCAGTTTGTGTACACCTCAACTAATCTTTGATATCCATTGAATACCTTACAAGCTAGGGGTGTTTATAACCACTTAACCGATTTTTTGGTTCAAGAATTTTCTTGAACAGAAATCGAACTAGTTAAGGGGAAAACCGGTTAGTAAAAACTGATTAATCGGTTTTAAACTGGTTTTCCCTTTAACTTATTTTTTATTTTGAGAGGGAAGAGAAAGTGGAAATTATTAGCATCCTACGATATGTGGTACACATCTTACGATACGATTTGATACGGGTCGCCAATGATACGTATCAAATGGTGTATCCTAATCCTTTTGATACATTGATATATATCCTATGATATGATTCGTATCCTTAAAAATATCGATATAAATTGATATGACTTTATTAATTTGGGCCAAATGCCCAAAAAAATTTCAAGTCGGATCTGGGTAACCCAATCGGATTCACTAAAACTCGCCCAAATTTACCTATTTTGCATGGAGAAAGATGTGTTACCCATTTTGCATACTAATAATAATAACACAAATAGAGATATAAATTTTGACATTGATCTTGGAAATGATATGAATGGTTGAGAGGAAATAATATAGATTTTTAATTTTGTGATTAATTTTGATTATGTAATATCATAATTTAAAGCCAATAATACCACAAAATTCTTTAATTAATCTTGGGGGTGATATTAATTTTTAGAATATTTTATTTTATTTTTTTGAAAAATGCGTATCCTATGATACGATACGCGATACACGATTTGGAAAATTAGGTTTTCGATATATAATACGATTCGCGATTTGACAACCATCGTGGAAATCGGTGAGGATTGAGGAGAAATGTGCGTTTGTGTGAAAGAAAAGAAAAAAAAAAAAAAAAAAAAAAAAAAGGGAGAAATGCATTAAGGGTGAAAAGTAAAGAGAAAAGGATTTGGGGATTTAGGGTTTTTTAATTTTAAACTGAAAATAGATTTTATAAACCAATTCCGGTTAATCGATTTTAAAATTTTTTTAAACCGGTAATCGAACTGAATTTCCGGTTTATGGATTTTGATAGAGTCAGTATCAGTGAATGAATTCAATAAATTCTTAAAACAGAAACTTTATAAATAAAAATAAATAAATAATAAGCAATGTTCCGGCAAAGTTTCTGGATCCCGGGTTGACTTGTTTCACTGGCTGGTCAAACCGGGTGTCAAAAATTTTTAAATTCACAAATACACCCTTGATAAGTCTCTACAAGTTTGAAATTTAGCAAACATAGCCCAAATACAAATCAATCGTCGACTGGTTGGTGGTTGTGACACACCAAATACAATCCTAATCGTCCTTTGAGCCCATACCCTAGAAAAGATCTGATCAAAATCGGTCGATTTCAACCAAATCTAACCAACACCGGCGTGGATTGATTTCAACAGATCTCACCACCACAGGTATTGACAACCCTCCCAATCACCACAAAAATACTCCCTTCAGCCTCCTGACAAAAATCCATCTCACCCCACCCCCGTTCACCTTGCCAATCGTCGGCAAAAGCTGGCTATTGCTGCTGCCAATTTTATTATATTTTTGGTCGATCAACTCACCGAAAATCAATTCCGTTGCCATCATTGCACTTACCGGCACTTCCTCTTCAAAAGCCCTAACATCCTGACCTTCAATTATTCGCTAATCATCATCCCAAATTCTAGGGTTTCGGGTTAATAGAGAAATTGTTAACCCGGCCTAGTGAAGGTCCCAAGTCCTAGTTTATTCGGTCGGGTCGGGCTAGGTTTTAAAACATTTATAATAAGTATATATATTTCTATTTATTAAATAAATAAAAAACCCTCTTTTCTTGTTCTTTTTTTTCATAATTAACAATACTCCTAAACACCCACACCCACCCCCCGAAAAAAAAAATGAAGATATAATTGTTTTGTGTATTGACAGGATGTTACTGCTGCATATTTGTCAAACTGGTTTTGCTTTACTTGGTAATTTAATTGAGTTATACTACCCCCGCAACTCAATCTCACAACTTTACCCCCAATGTGGTAGTTCAGTTGATAATTGTCATGTCAGCTCCCACCACACCCAAGGCACTAAATAACTTTGACTAAACACGAACAATCGTTTCTTAGAGACGAACGACTATTCCTTCATAAGGAATGATTGTTCCTTATGAATGAACAGTTGTTTGTTCCTAAGGAACGATCGTTCGTCTCTAAGGAAAGGGAGAGTAGCCGACTGGTCAAAATCACGTTTAGTCAAACTTTACTGTTTCGTTAGGGTTGTAAGAGAAGGTTATGAGATTAGAGATGAGGACGGGCTGGGGACCCCTGCCTCCGGCCCCAGCTCAAAAGCCCAAGGGGATTCCCCGATCCCGGCCTGAAGCCCGTTCGGGAAATTCAGGGAATCCTCGAAAAAAACCCGTTCCCCAAACGGGATTTTTTGTCTTTTTGTATCCTTATTAGTTTTATTATTGTTTTCTCCAAATTATATATGCCAACCACAAAAAAAATTAAATATATAATATACATATTAAACATAAAGACCATATCATCAAAAAAAAAAATTAAATCTATAATGTACATATTAAATATAAAAACCATCATACTAAATTGATAATATATTACAATATGTGACAAATCTATAATCAAAATATTCAAAACATGGCAGTATCAAGATTCAAAACATGAGCTGCCAAAAAGACCCACCCCACAATCCACATTAGTACTTCAATAGCTTCAATACATTACAGTATCAACTATCAAGATTCAACAACCAACAGACAACACCTAACATTTCATTTCCATGTGCAGCCCACAAACAACCTATAGACAAATTTTAGATTATTACAAACCTAAAAAAAATCTAAACCATATTAAATTGCATACAATTAAAATATAGAGAAATAAACCTGTCACATATGAAATTCATAAACAACATGTAGAAAAATTTTAGATAATAGCATATTATGTATAAATTATAATGTACAACATATATATATTATATACACTATACTTATATAGTATATACCATATATAATATACAATGTATAATGTATAATGTAAAATGTATAACTTTTGTTTCATAGCATTAACATATATATATATATTGCAAATATTTATTATATTTAATCTAGTTTTATTTATTACCTATTTGTATATAGTTTCATAAAATACTTACATAATTATAATTTGTCATTGTATAATGTATAATTGATTTTTAAATATTAAAATTATTATAGGTATATATGATTGATTTTCAAATATTAAAATTAATATAAGTATATATGATTGATTTTAATTATCAAAATTAATATTGATATATATATAGTATACTAGCCGGGCTGGGGATTTCGGGGCTGGGAAAAAACCTATCTCGGCTCCGACCAGTCTCCGAATTCTGAGACTAATCTTAGGCCCGATTCCAACCCAAAGCTTGAACGATTCGAGAAAAATCTACCCTATTTATGGTGGGTCTCTACGGGGTCGGATTTTGTACCTATCCCTATATAAGATTGAGTTATAACCATAATATTTTTTAATTTAATTAGAGTATTGTATTGTACTTGTTGCACATCTGAACCTTTTTAACATTTTACATGCCGGGAAATGAAACTTTGAGCAAGCATGAGCTGTACATGTCCTATAACACAGACAATATTTGATTCTGGACACTTGGCAGCTTGAATTGTCAGAAACCCAAATCCAAATGGGAATCTCCAATTATCCAGAGTCAAGTCAAGCTTCCGTATTATTACGGTTTATAAAATCACTCTGGCCCCCCTCAATTATTTCTTTATTCTGTTCTGTTGACCATCTGCTTTCTGTTGTAGATAGACGTTTTCTTTCTGTTGTATTTGACAGTTTCAAAACAGTCCACGTTTTAATCCGTTAAATTTAATCGCTTGGTCTATGCCTTTCACATTCCCACGTGTCCCTCCGTTTATCCAGCTGTCACCTTTCCTTAATCCAGCCCTTTAAGCTCTGAATCACTCACTCAGCCCGTTCAAACGGCCGCGTATGTCCTTTTATACCTTACTGTCACATCTTTAACCCTCATTCAATTCTCATTCTCTATACCAGGTGGGGTGATGGAGACCTTCAGTTTATTATTTAATCACTTTTGAGTGATCACCGTAAAGTTTATTCGGTTGTTAATTTTAGAATCTTAAAAAATTAGTCAAGATACATATAAATTAATTTAGATATTCTCGATCACTGAAAAAAGATTTATCCAATTGTTAACTTTAGAGTCTTAAAAAATTAGTCGAAATACATATAAATTGACCCAAATATCCTGGATCACAAAAAAAAAAAAAAAAAAGCTTTGTTTGGCACATTATTTCTATCCATATTCTCAATCATATTCCCAAAATATTGTTTGTTTTGTTATTTGAGAAATATTAGTATATTTTTTAATTATTTTTAGAGCCCTTAAGTTTATTAATTTCAAATACCCCCGAAAAAAGTTTAAAAATTAATAAAAACACCTCCTCTCACCCATATTTGCTAGATTCCAGAAATCACCATCGGTGGTAGCCAGAATCTGTCACAACGGCCTACAAACGACCGAGACTGGCCGGTAATTCATCGATCTGGCCTTTTCTATGGATCTGGCCATCATCTGAACTTTTCGGCTAGATTACGACGGTGGTGGCCGAAATCTGACACTGTGGGTGAGTGGGGGTATTTTTATCATTTTATTTTATATATATTAGGGTGTTTAGTTAAATTAGCAAACCTAGAGAGTTTTTTTATAAATTTTACCTCGTAATACTCTCCTATTCAACTATCCAATATTATTCTCAAAATCCTATCCAAAATAATAAAATAAACGGATCATTTAAGAAACTGTTTTTCTATATTCAGTTATTTTAACTTAATATATATATATAATTTAGGGTATTGTATTGTACTTGTTGCAGATGTTAGAATTACAGTTCATTTGTACCTTTTTAACATTTTACATGCCGGGAAATGAAACTATGACCAAGCATAAGCTGTACATGTACAGACAACATTGATTCTGGACACTTGGCAGCTCGAATTGTCAGAAGCCCAAGGCAGACAGTATTGATTCTGGACACTTGGCAGCTTCCGTATTGTGGTTTATAAAATCACTCTGGCCCTCCTCAATTATCTGTTTGTTCTTTTCTGTTGACCATTTGCTTTCTGTTGTGGATAGACGTTTTCTTTCTGTTGTACTTGACAATTTTGAAACAGTCAACGTTTTAATCAGTTAAATTTAATCGCTTAGTCTATCCCTTTCACATTCCCACGCGTCCATGATCGGAAATACTCTCTTCAGTCTCTTGATCAAAACCCATCTCATCTCACCCTCATTCATCTCGTTAATCGTCGACAAAAACTCGTTGTTGTTGTTGCCAGTTTAATTATATTTATGGTTGATCAACTCACCAAAAACCAATTATGTTGCCACCATTCACTTACCGACACTTCCTCTTCAAAAGCTCCAACATTACAGCCTCCAATTATTCTTCAATCATTATCCTAAATTCTAAGGTTTTGGGTTAATAAGGAAATTGTTAACTCGGCCCGATGAAGGTCCGAAGTCCTAGTTAACCGTTCGGGTTGGGTTAGGTTTTAAAACACTTATAATAAGTATATATATTTCTATTTATTAAATAAATAAAAAACCCTCTTTTCTTGTTCTTTTTTTTCATAATTAACAATACTCCTAAACACCCACACCCACCCCCCGAAAAAAAAAATGAAGATATAATTGTTTTGTATATTGACAGGATGTTATTGCTGCATATTTGTCAAACTGGTTTTGCTTTACTTGGTAATTTAATTGAATAATACTACGCCCACAATCAAATCTCACAACCTTACCCCCAACGTGACAGTTCAGTTGACAACTATCACGTCAATTCCCATCACACTCAAGACATTAAATGACTTTAATTAAATATGAAAAATCGTTTCTTAAGGACGAACAATCATTTCTTATTAATGAACAATGATTGTTGTTTATGAAGGAACAATCGTTTATTCCTAAAGAACGACTGTTTGTCTCTAAGGAAAGGGAGAGTGGTCGAGTGGTTAAAATCATATTTAGTCAAACTTTACTGTTTCATTAAGGTTGTAAAAGAATGTTAGGAGATTGAGGTATAATCTCAAATTTTTTTAATTTAATTTAGAGTATTGTAGTGTACTTGTTGCACGTGTTTAAATTACTGTTCATTTGAACCTCTTTAACAGTTTACACGCCCGGAAATGAAACTATGAGCAACTGAGCAAGCATGAGCTGTACATGTCCTATAACACAGACAGTATCGATTCTGGACACTTGGCAGCTTCCGTATTATGATTATAAAATCGCTCTGGCCCTCCTCATACTTGACAATTTTGAAACAGTCCACGTTTTAACCAGATATATTTAACCGCTTAGTCTATGCCTTTCACATTCCCACGTGTCCGGCTTTTATCCAGCTGTCACCTTTCCTCTTCCATACATAAAGCGGAAATACGTAGGCCCCCCGAGCCCTTTAAGCTCTGAATCAGTCACTCAACAGTGTACCCATTCAAACGGCCGCGTATTTTTCTATAGCTCACTGTCACATCTTAGCCGTCGTTCAATTCTCATTCTCAACATCGGACGGGTGATAGAGAGTATATAATTCAATAAGTTTTAATTTATTCAGCCATTAATTTTAAGATCTTAAAAGGTTAATCGAAGTATATTTACATTTACCCGAATATCTATAATCACCAAACAAAAAAAAGAACCCATTTTTTTATATTAAGTTATTTGAACATAATTTTCCTTACATAATTTATTTATTTTAGATTTTATATATATATATATATAGTGGATCTAGAAATTTTTGTTAGGGTGGATTAAAATAAAAACTAATTATTGTCTATTAATATTTTTGTTAGGATGGGCCAAAATCTAGAAATTATAAATATTAGTGTTTAAAAAAAAAAAATTGAGGGTGGGCCAAAACTAGGCTGAATCTGTCACTATATATATATATATATATTTGGTATCCATGGGTGTTTGTGGGCATCTCAATAAGTCCTCTGAGATCCTAAAGTTAATGACAAGGTAAGTAAGTAATATAGAAACCAACACTGGGTGGTCCAGTGGTCAACTAGGACTCTTGAGTAATACACTCAAGAGGTCATGAGTTCGATTTATTTGGATTACTAATAGGGGTCTCCACTAAGGGGATTTATCCAACTGTCAACCCTCTATTAATAGTCTTGAGGATTGAAACTCGGGACAACATACGATAAGAGTATTTTGAAAAGAATAACGCTAAACATATAAAGTTGCGATTGTAAATAGTACAATGAATAACTTTTTTTTGGATATAATCACAGCATGGAAAAATAATTTAAAACATTTATTAAATCAAATAAAATTTTATCTTATGATAGGAACATGTGAATGTTTGGCTTGGTGAAGATCACGTGACCAGATGACCTTCAGATTTCAGTAAGAGTCACTAAAATAAATGTCACTTGACCAGACTTGATATGACACATATACCCCTGACCTTATAGGATAATTGACACTTCTCTTAACTGATGCCCACGCCCCTGAAGCCTTTTCTATTTCTAGCAACCGTCCAAAATCCCGCGTGTCTCCCGATCTTGACGTCACCTGCCATGTAACCCTTGAGGCCCCTCTGATCTGTCATTACCTGGACAACATTGACCCACTCTGACAACACCCTCCACGTCCCTCCAGAATGTCCTTCAAACCCGTGTATAAACGGCGTACAGCCTTCTGCCACGTCCACACCGCTACCCTATATAAACGCGCAACACTCACTCCAGTCTTTCAATTCTCAATTCGAACTCTGTTTTTAAAATTCAAACTCAACAAAAGAAAAACAAAAATTATGCAGAAGTTCTCGAAGCGACAGAAATTTGCCACAGCCGCCGCCACCACAACCACTGTCACCCAGCCACTGGTTCCTCCGGGTATCACTAGAGAACAGGAATTCTCCGTCATGGTCTCTGCTCTGCGAAACGTCGTGGTCGGAAACACAAACCCCGTGCTTTCCCAGGATTTGTTTCATTTTCAAGACTGGACTGCCAGTGCCTCCAGCTCCTCCTCCGCCGCTGCTGCAACGATTAACGGTTTTGGTAACGGATTACTGTCGGTGTCCTCTGATTTGGATACGTGTCAAGTGTGCAAGATTCAACCGTGTTTAGGATGCAACTTTTTCCCGCCAAATCAACCAGAGGAAAATCAAAATAATAACAACCATAACACTAACAACAACAGCAATAAGAAAGGGACGAACAAGAAACGGGCGAAGAAGAATTACAGAGGAGTGAGACAGAGGCCGTGGGGAAAATGGGCGGCGGAGATTCGAGACCCGAGAAGGGCTGTGCGTGTCTGGCTTGGAACATTCAACACCGCGGAAGAGGCAGCGCGTGCCTACGACAAGGCGGCCATTGATTTTCGCGGGCCCAGAGCTAAGCTCAATTTCCCATTTCCAGATAATTACACTGTAACCGCCGAATCGTCAACGAGTCAGTATGAACAAATCACATCATCACCATCACCATCACCACCACCACCACTACTTCTACCTCATCTTCAACTACTTCATCAGCAACAACAACAACAAGTGTGGCGAGGAAGCAGTGAAAATGCTGCCAACAATGACGGCTCTGCAACAGAAATGGGACTGGGATTTGGATTTGGGAGGGAAAGTGAGTTCTGGGACATTGGAGAAGACGAAATTCAACAGTTGTTGATGACCATTGGATTTGGCGGGGATTCCTCAGATTCTGCTACAAAATTAATTAGTGGAGATTAGTCAATTTGTCGCAATAATTTTTATTTTTTTTTTCTCATAATCTCATTCTTTCATTGGTTTTGAAGAAAGAATGTTGATTAAATCTGTAAAATTCTTGCGAGTTTTAGAAGCAATGTAAAAATATCTCAATTATTAATTAATTAATTAATTAATTAAGATGACGAGATGGTGAGTGTGTTCTGTGTTGGCGTGCTGAGAAAGTTCCTTACCGATGTGGGACCTGGAGAGGATCATAAAAAGGTCACGCAGACACTGGACCGAGTAATACTATTTCTAAAAGTAGATGATGATTTCATTTTAAGAATGACACGTGTACAACCACTAAATCTTACTAGAGCTTGCATTACAACATGTGACCTTTCTTAAAGTAGTGTTGTAATAATTAAATATTTTCATCATATTTAACATGTGCTTCAATTCAACTCATTTCTCATGTGTGTACACAAATAAAGTGAAAAACAATTGGGCAAAGAAAATCAATTAAAGTTTAAAGCAATTATAATTATTTTAATTTAAAATCATAATTAATTGAAATTTATTTATTTTTTAAAAATAAAATTATAATGTCAACGCATATAAATGATTTATTTATTGATATTATTATTAAAATTTTAAATATGTTATAATTTTTAATTAATTAAGTTAATTAATAATTAGTAGTTAATCTTTATAAGCTTTTGAAGTAGGATCAAGAGAGACAACAGGACTTTTGGCTTTATTCGTCAACGAGAGAAGCGCGTGGGATTATAAAGTTGAATAATAATTAATGCAAGTGGCAATTAACACATGCTTAATACAAAACTAACTTTAATTATTTGATTTAAGTCAAGACATCCACCAATCTCATCTGGAAAACCCACACGTGACTATAAGACTTTTCTAGCGATGGATAAGGCTTTTTTTTTTGTTGATTAGAATGGAATAGGGAAGCATTTAGGTCCCCCATATTTTTTTTTTTTTTTTTTTTAATGTTCAACCGACGCAATGTGATTTGTTATAATTGATCATATTGATAGTACAAAGAATGGGTCTGTTATCTTGACAGAGATGGTTTTACCTTTTTCGGATATTTATTCTAATATCTGCAGCACGAAGTACATAAAATCATAGATTACGAAGTATTCGAACTATGATTCATACTTAATATTTAGGTCTCGCAGTCAGATTCCAAAGTTAGAAATTGAATGAAGAATAATCTTTCAAATTCTCATTTCTGCTTTCATTTGGGTATTTGTAAAAAATTTTAATGATATTAAAGATAATTCTTAAGGCTGTCACTGTATATATCACATGTAAAATCATATTTAATAAAAAAAATAGAATTTCATTTTTTTTTAATATATGGTAATTGTTTCTTTATAACTGAGATGTTTAGACTAGTTTATGTGTACTTTAACTGATCTCAAAATTCATTGAACACTTTACAAACCTAGTGAATTAGATAACACAAGACCTCTGAGTAATCTATCCAGATGACTAAAATTTTACTATCTGACTGTAAAACTAGTAGTTAATACATGATAATTTGGTAATAAATATATGAGATAATTGATCTTGAGCAAGAAAACAATAAAGCACTAGGGCATATCCGTAATCCTTGTACAATTACAAGCGTAACAAAGTAAAATAATTAGATAATTAAGATTAAAAAGTGACATTTAAGTATAAAAAAAAGGGGAACGTGAAACGCCGTTAAGAAGATAAATTTATTATTAAAAAAGAAATAGTAAACGAATGCTTGAAACATGACGTTGCACCATGACATCAAAATATTGACTTCATGAGGAGGTAATTATACACATACACTTTTTCATTTAATATATAAAGAATTTTGTACGCAAGACTTCTTGCTTGTGTTGGTGTCAAATCATAAAATATGATGACACCCATATGGGATTCTGTATTGGTTGGCTGACAGCTTCTATTTTCCTGCTAAAAAATCACTATTAAATAACTCTTTTACGTGTGTATATTGATATAACAGTTTGTAATTGGTTAAACGAAACATATTATTGGATAGGTGAAATTTATTGTAAACTGATCAATTGTGAGTTATTACATCACATTTGTGAGAGGTAGTTAATGAGAATAGTTTATCAGCATAATATTACTCCTGTTTGTATTGTGCTCCACCTTCAGGAGACAATACAATCCACAATTGAGAATCCTGTTTGCTCATTTCTTTGTGGGTGGAAGATGATCATATGTATCAAATTATTTATATGGTTTTGTTGAAATAATAATACAAAAATGTAAAGTTGGGATCCCAACTTAACTTTTTATTCTAGTTTATGTGAAAAATGATTTGATGGCATCTTCTCAATTATAGGATGATGAAGCAGATGTGTCGAAACACAAAATTATGATCCTAACCTTATACGTGTAACATTACCCTTTTGGGAGAAATATGCAGCTACAATATGATTACTTATGAACAGTGTTTTAAAACTCGGCTCGGCCCGATTTGTTGAACCGGTTCAACATGTACTTAGGGCTTTCAACGAGCCGGGTTACCCATTTTCCTATTCACCAAAAACCCTAGAAATTGGGATGATGATCAACGAACAATTAAAGGTCAGGATGTTGGGGCTTTTGAAGAGAAAGTATCGATGAGTGCAATGGTGGCGATAAAGGTGATTTTTGGTGAGTGATTCGACCAGAAATCCAAAAAAAACTGACGATGGCAACAATCGGTGATTAGTGAGGCGAACGGGGGTGGGGTAAGATGGGTTTTGGCCAAAAGGCTGAGGGGAGTTATTTTCGTGGTGATGGCCTAGAATGTCGACGCTGGTGGTGGTGAGATCTGGCCTAGAATGTTGACGCCGACGTCAATGATATCTGCCCAAAATTAAACCGATTTCGGCTAGATCTTGGATATATTTTCTGGGGAATGGGCTCAAGAATGATTGGGATTGCATTTGGTGTGTTGTAACTGCCAACCAGTCGATCACCGATTTGTATTTGGTATATATTTGCTAAATTTCAAACATTTAAGGACTTAACTATAGTTTTTAGGGATGTATTTGCTGAATTTTAAACTTTTTGTCACCCGGTTTGACCAGCCAATCAAATTGGTTAATCAGTCAACCCAAGACCTAACAACTTTGTTGGGTTTTACCCTAGGTTGGTTATTAAAACACTGCTTATGAAGTTTTATTGTGACTCAGCATAAAATTTCACGCCAAAACTAAACTATGCCTTCAATAAGAACTATTCGGCTTTTGTTGTGTTAATAATATTAGCCTACAGTATTTGCATGCTACTTCTTACAAATCTCATGGGACTAATTATATCATGATTTTGAACTGGAAACCTCTCTCTATTGATCTTGAGGCAAATGTTACAGCAATAAGATTCTTTCACTTTGGCAATGGTTCACAATATTCTGAATCTCCTTAAAGCTTAAAATACAACAAACCAAACTCATTTACCTAGGAAAGTGTTTCAATCGTGTTTACAACAAGATGAATGAAAAAAATTCATAGAATATACAAGCAGACGAGAGAGAAAGGAGTAATACTACACCATCAACTCTTTCTCATAAACTTTATCTCGTAATCTTGATGTGACAACTCGTAATTAATTAGTGCGATCTGTTATGAACTGACTAATTGTAAGTTGTTACGTCAGAGTTGTGACAGAAAGTTTGTAAGAGAAGTTATATGATGATGATGGTTCTTCACAGTCATCGCTTGCCCTGGCCAGCAAGGCCGATAGATAATACTCTCTCTGTTTCGAAATAAAAGTCGCTTTAGCCTTATAATTTTTTTCCAAAATAAGTGTCGTTTGGCCAAATGTAACCCTCTCTCTCTTTCTCGAAGTATGCCCCTATCTCCTCTCTCTTTTTCCCTCACCCCTCATCTCCTTTCTCTCTCTCTCTCTTTCAAGAGCCATTTAACACAACTTTTTCATCAATCATCATTGCTTTTTCTACGTTCTATTTTCCACGCACTTTTAGAGGAAAGAGCAAAGAGACAAAATTTTTACATTAAAAAATTAGTTTATTAAAAAACGTGTAATAACTTAAAACGATTTTTATTTCGAAACGGAAGGAGTATGAGCTTTTGAAGTGGGGTCAAGAAAGACAAGAGGACTTTTGGCTTTATGCGTCAACGAGAGAAGAAGCGCGTGGGATTAATACTTAATGTTAGTGACAATTAACACGTGCTTAATTTCTTAATAACAAAACTAACTTTAATTATTAATTAGATCAAGACATCCACTAATCTCATCTCTAGAAAACCCACATGTGACTATAAGCCTTTTCTCGTACTAGATAAGGTTTTTTTTTTGTTGATTAGAATGGAATAAGAAAGCACTTAGGTCCCCCATTTTTATATATATATATGTATAATTTTAGTTCGACTTGGTGGTTCGATCGCACAATTTTCTTGTTTTTGTATTTCCGAAATATGAGTGTGTGACTTGTTATAATTGATCCAATTGATAGTAAAGAGAATAGGTATGTCATCCTGATAGAGATGGTTTTACCATATTGAACATTTATTCTAGTATCTGGAGTACGAAATACATGAAATAGATCACGAAAGTACTCGAACTATGATTCATACTTCATACTTAATACTTAGATTTAGTTGTCGGATTCCAAAATTAGAAAAGTTAGAAATCGAAAGAAGAAAAATCTTTCAAATTCCCATTTCTACTTTGATTTTGCTCATTTGGGTATTTGTAAAAGTTTTTGATGATACTAAAGATATTCTTAGGGTTTGTCACTACATATATCATGTGTAAAATCATATTTAAGAGATATTTTAATAAAAAAATAGAATTTCATTTTTTTAATATATGACAATTTTTTTTTTGATAATCGGGGTATTCGGGTCAGTTTGTACGTACCTAAACTAATCCCGAGGTCTATTTAACACCTTACAAACCCAATGAGTCAAGTAACATAAGATCTTTGGAATCCATCTAGATAGTTAAAGTATTGTCGTCTGGTCACAAGACTAGTGGTTAATATATGATATATATTTTTTTTT